GTCTCCCAAGCAGAGCCTCTCCTGGTGGCACCACTTAGGGAAAAAAGCCAACCATGGGTGGTGACCACGAGTTTGCTTTGTTTCTCCTTCCTGGCTTTTCTGGGCCGTCCTCAAGGTCCAGGCCAGTCTGGTCGCACTGCCCGGCTCCAAGTGCAGCACCAACAGGACTCGTCCCCGCCTGCCTGACAGCGTGTCAGTGGCACCCCTGTGCAGGCACAGGGACTGGAGCCCTCTAAGCGGGCAGCAGCTGGCCTGGTACCAGGCCCAAACGCAGCGGGTTTGCGCTTGCACACCCCTTGTGATGGGCAGCTCACCACTCAGCAAGGTCACGTCACCTCACTTCTGGGCTCCTGCCTGCGGGATAGGCTTCCTGCACGGATGACAGCTGTCATTTGCCACTGCTGCCTGCGCCCCTGCTCCGCCTGTGCAGATCACACTGGCCGGGTCTGCCCCCTGACCTGGGCCAGCACCGCCCACACGCTCCAGACGCCACTGCCATTCGGGGGCCCCCGTGGCCAGGGCTTCACACAAGGCCTGATCCCCCCATGGGTACAATCACGCTTCTAGCGCTGGAGAGAACACTGCCTGTTAGTCAACATGAGGCGAGCAGGGAAAAGAAGGGGAAACTCGAACATCAGAACTTAGTGAGAGTCACCACCAGCTCTGCGGGCGGCCCTCCCCGTGAGCCGCCAAACGTCCAGGTGGTAGGGCCGAGGGGCTGAGCCACCACACACGGTTGGGGGTGCAACCCCCACAGCAGCGCAATCAGCAGCGGGACCAGGAGGTTCTGCAGCCGTGAACACCTTCCCGGGCAGGTTCACGCGCTTCCCCTTGTGCAGCTTCGCCTGGAAGAGCACGGACGAGGCTGGAGGGGCAGTGCCACCTGTGCGTTTGGGACTTGGAGGCTCGGAGATGCGGGACTCAGCAGGTCACCCACGGGGCGAGAGGGAGAGCCTGGGGACACATCTCGAGTGTCTGGGCCCAGGGAACAGCACTTGACCGACTGCCAGTCCTGCACCGATGAGCTCTGTGGTCCTTCTGGGCCTCGGGGGTGATGTGCGGGGTCCCCACGGTTGATGACACAGGGGGGCAGGCAGAGGGGGCCGTGACCGACTGGATGCTGAGCACTGGGGTTGATGGTCCAGCCGACCCACAGGGACCCATGCAGCCTGGAACACCTCAGCACCCCTAGCGTGATCGCAGCCTCACAGGCCTCCTGGCCTTTGCCTGAGCTGTTCCCTCTGCCTGTCACACTCTTCCCAGTGCCCCCCACCCCCCTGCATAGCTTTTTGTTCCCTCAGCTGCTGCCTCGCCCATGGAAGCCTTCCCTGACCCCAGCTCCCGGCCCCTGTCCCATAGGAGGCCCTCCTGAGCCCCAGCTCCCGGCCCCTCTCCTCCTGGCCCTTGTGAACCAAGGAATTAGCAGTTGATGTGTCTCCCAGGAGGACAGTAGCCCCGTGAGGCTGGAGCTCCACCTGTCTGGTTCACAGCACGTCCCGGGACCCACAAGAGTACGCGGCACTCAGGAAGCCTTGACAACGAGGTAGGCCATTCCCGGTTGACCAGGAGAACACGGCCCGGACCCCCTGGCCTCAGTATCCCCCTTGGCCAGGGAGGCCTAGGTGCATCTGAGGCTTTTTGGAGAACCAGGAACACACCCTGCGCCCGCTGTTCTGGGCCTGGCAAAGAGCGGTGTCTCACGGGGACACTGAGGAACGGCCTCTATGCAGCAGCACAAAGAGCCCAGACTAGGAGTCTGGAGCGGTCATCACGCTGACCTGGGCAAGCCACATCCCACCTGGGCCTCTACCTGCCCTTTTGTGAAATAGGATAATGAAAGTCCTGGCCCTGCCTGGAGGGCTGTTGGGGTATCAGCTGGAGAAGAGCTATCCTCACCCGGCCTCCACCCCAGGAGCTCCCTGGTACCAGGAATTACAACCAACCTCCGGGGCCTTGCTCTGGGCCAGACCGTCCTCCAGACGGGCTCGCACAGACTTCACAGCTGCCTTTACCACGGGCAGCACCATGACCCCGGCCAAGGAGGGACCAGAGAGGCTGAGGCACTTGCCCAAAGTCACACAGCTAGATATGCACAGTGTCCCAATTTGAATAGCTCTTCCCTTACCAACCAACTGCCCGGCCAGAGCTGCTGCTGGGACTCCCAGCAGCTGCTCCCAGCCCCAGGCGGGGCCTCAGGGAAAGCAAGGCAGCCGCTGGAAGGCCAGCGCACAGCCTGCAGGTGGAGCGTAGATAGGGTACCACGTAACCCTGGGCATCCAGGGCTGCGAAACAGCATCCAGAGGTGGAGCTGGCACAGAACGGGGCTCAGAAATAGGGCTCCTCTCCTGCCTCCTCCACTTGTGGAAACTGCAGTTCAAACCCCCACTCCCCGGGAGCCCTCCTGGATTTCACCAGGGCCTCCTGAGGCCCCTTCTGTCCCAAGCCCCCCCCCCCCCCCCAATCACACAAGCAGTACTGGGCTCGAGCTCCTGACACTGAATGCAGGAACCACTGGCAGCAGGAGCGCAGAGCAGTTGGACCAACCGCCAGCCTCACGCAGGCCCTTCGGGAGCCCAGCACTTGGCCTCCAGCTGGCAGAGGGGACCCCAGGGCTGGCCCCACACCCAGGAGCCCGAGGGCAGGTTGTCACAGGGGTTCCTCTCCCCCAGCCCTGAGGGAGCACACAGCTGCTCGGGGGGAGGGGGACACTGAGTGCACCTGCCACCCCCCTCATCTGCCCTCCGTCCCACACACTGGTTCTGGCCCAGGCAGGGCTGGAGGGCTGGCCTTGGCAGCAATAACAGCCACAGGGTCTCCGCTGGTGGAGAGCTTGGTGGGGCAGGCACCAGGCCCAGCTAAACCCTCCTGACACCTTCATGACCACCCTCTGCAGGACGGCCACTGTCACTCCCATTTTGCAGGGAAGGAAACTAGGGCACAGAGGTTAAGTGACTTGCCCAGGGTCACACAGCCCATAAAAGGTGAGGCCAAGATTGGAGCCCAGGCCGGTTGGATCCACAGCCACACCATGAACTCCTACAGAATATGTTTTCTTAAAAGGGTTATGTGCGTGTGTGGGTGCGTAGGGGCGGGGGGTGCTCAAAATCTTGGGCAAGGGGGCGCAGTGCAGACGCCCGTCTGGCTCCTGAAGGCCTCCCCATCGACCTTCCTGACTTCCCTCTTGCACCTCACGCTCCAGTTCTTCCAGTATGTTCCGCCAGACTTCTTCTCCAAGCGTGAGCCCCACTGTCCTGCCAGGCAGATTCAACGCCTCCTCTCCACTCCCGTCCTTGGCACCGAGCTCATTGCGTCCTCGAGGGCCCCCGTGGTCCTCATCTGGGAGCGCACAGGCTGTGGGGAGGTCAAGACTCCAGACACGGCGAGAACCCGGGGCTCAGGGTCATCTCTGCTCCGTCCCCTGAGGAGGCCTGGGCAGGACGGAACCAGGTCCCACACCCGCCCGCAGCCTCTGGCCACCAGGTGTCATCACATGGCATCCACCAGGCAGCCCGGTGTTGGTAATGGCTCCCCCCAAAGTCCCTGCACCCATAAAGTCCTGTGTGCCCCCAAATCATCCTTCACCCTCTCCATGTGTACTGCTCTGATGGCACAGCTTCGGGCGTCACCCCTCCTTAGCTGCGAACACCCTTCTACTCCCTCACAGCTCAGGTCACCTCACCTCCTCCCTCCTCCAAGGAGCCTTCGGGATCATACCACACTTGCAAGGACATGTGGTCTCTCCTTACTGTGTATGGTGCCCTCCTCCCCCTGCCAGCACCTGGCTCCCTGTGGCTACAGCCAGCTCTAAGCCCTCTAAGGGCCACCTGGTCTGTCCACCTATAGATTGTGGACAATAAATCAGTCGGCTCAGGGCTGAGTAAGAATTAGAAACAACACTCATGGAGACTTTAGCCCAGGGGCCGGCCTGCTGAATTTGCTCAGGAATGAATTACTGCCACCACCACCACCACCACCACCACCACCACCACCACCATCACCATCATCATCACTATCACGACCACCACCACCATCATCACCAACATCACCATCATCACATCACCACCACCATTATCACTTTCACCACCACCACCATCACCTTCACCATCATCACCATCATCTCTCACCATCACCATCACCACCATCATCACCATCAACACCACCATCACCACCATCACCACTATCACCATCATTATCACTTTCACCATCACCACCATCTTCATCATCATCACCACCATCACTACCACTATAATGGCCACCACAACCGTCATCGCCATCACCATCACCGTCATTACCACCAGGGCTCTGATGGACACACTGGCCATCACATAGAAGAGTCATGACTCATTCTCACCTTGATCCCCCCCACGCCAAGCCAGGGATGAGGCCTGACTGTCCTGTGTGCCCAACACGGAGTAAGGGCTTGATGTGTACTCATGATTGAAACAAGTGCCATCCCCAACATGGTAAAGCAGGTCTTCAGCCTTCCATGAAAATTCCAACCACCTTTCCTCAGCCTGGCTCATCACTCACCACCCTTCATCTATGCATCTCTGGTGCGTGTCAGGGGACACGGGCAATGGGGAGATTCCTAGCACACAGGATAATGCTTGAACGCAGGGGCTCTGGAACCACAGTGCCTGGCTGTAACCCCAGCCGTGCCCCTTCCTAGCTGTGTGACATTTGGCAAGATCCTCATGCTCTCCGTACCTCAGTTGGCTCTTCTGGAAACCGGGGATAAGCACAGTACAGGGCTGTGTGTGAGGTGCACAGCAGAGGGCACAGCGGACACAACTACTTGCCAGCTAGACACGAGGCAACCAAAGCTCTGAGAGCAGCAGCGACCCGCCGGGGGCCACACGGGGATGCGGGGGGCCTGAGCTCCAGCTCCTCGTGGTGACCTGGAGCTCCCCGGAGCTTCTCCCGGCCCCACTCCCCTCCGCGTGTTCACCCCAGCTCCTCGGCTCCCCGCCTGGGGTGGGGACGGCGCCCCGTGCACTCACCACGGCGAGCCGTAGATCCGGAAGCCACGCACGGTGACCTCCGAGTCCTGCAGGTAGATACAGTTGGTGAGCAGGGACTGCACGTTCTCGTAGTTCTCTGGCTTCAGCTTTGACACCGACGGGAAGTAGTAAAAGTCCTGCTTGATGAGGTCAGCCATGAACTCCTGGTCGAAGGTCAGCTCGTGGTTGCCGGCAATCACAATCTTGTACTCGTAGGGCAGGCTGCCTGCAGAGGCGGGCACAGACACATAGACTCGGCCGCTGGCCTCCGGGGAGCCACCACCCAGCCGGGGCGGGCGGCGGGCGAGAGCCACCGGAATCCCCCACAGAGCAGCCCCGGCTGCAGGCCCCCCGATTGGCGCCCTCCGATCAGAGGCAGCGGCCGGCAGCCCGACCCTCACCCCTGCAGCCTGCCTGCGCCGGTGGCGACTGGGTGACAGGCCAGCAGCAGACCCAGGCTAGCAGGGGGGACCTGGCCTCATCCTCGGGACTGGCCGGCCTCAGGCTCCTCTGTCTGAGGAAGCACAAGCTCTTTGTGGAGCTCGTGTGAAACCCCTGGAGACCCTACACTTGGGGAGGGGCCCACCCCGATGGCCATGGAGTTCCAAGGCCAAGCCCAAGTGCAGCCAAAACACAACTGTGCATAGCACATCCTGGTACACACACAAAAGGCCCTTCTAGCTTTGATCTGTCAGAACCCGGGGCAGCTCCTCTGCACCATGCCTCCCTCCCTGGGGCCCCACCTTGCAGGTGCCCTGAGCAAGGTGTGGGTGCTGCCTCCCAGCTGACCTGCCTGGGGGCCCCCTTCCCCGCTACCATAGCCCCTTGGGCTCAGTAAACCACCACCCACCCCTGGTCCCCACCGCCCCTTGGAAGCCGGCCTGACCCCAGACTCGGGGCCCTGACTCCCCATCTCCCACGAGCCTCAGCTGCCGGGCTCCTCGGGCCTGGACAAGGGGTCATGATGGCACCCAGGGGTCCTGACGTGGATGAAAAATGCAATGTGAAGGTGAGCCAGCCCGAAGGCCCAGACCCTTCCCCCGGGCCCCTCCAGGTGGGGCGGGCCCCCCTGGGTCAGGCAAGCACGACGGGGACGTGTGACATGCCAGCCCAGCACGGGCCTCCAATAGGAGAGTCCAGGCAGGAAAGTGGTGACATGCCACAGCTACCACACAGAGAAGTAGTCGCGGCCATCGAATGCAACATCTAAATGACTCTAACGCGGGCTTCTGCGGGAGCCAGCACAGGACACTAAGCTCTCCCACGCACCCGCTTTAGCCACTTCTCTTGCCCCAGATTCTTCAGCAAAATGACTCGCTCCCGTGGTCCCAGAGGCCTCCTGCAGCGCATCCGTGCCAGGCACTGAGCCAGGCACCTCCCATTCCATGGTGCTGATTTGGAAAATGAGGCTTGGGGAGCTAGGCCGTGACATGCTGGAGGACACACAGCCCACAGGTGGCAGACTGGCCTCTGAGCCAGTCCTGTGTGACCCCAACGCTTTCCACCTGCTTGGGGAGAGCCCAGGAAAGTGCCCTCATGAAGCCAGGACGCAGAGTCCCATCCTGACGCCTGAAAGCCATGACCATGCCTCTGGCCCTGGCCTTCTGTCCCCTATGACACATAGGAGAGCCCTCCTAAGGGTCCTCAGCCTCCCAGCTCCAGGCACATGGAGAAGGAAGAGCAAGACACCACCCAGCTAATGGAGAGCCATGCCTCCCAGCACATCTTCCTTGATCTTGGGTGACCGTGATCCACACAAGAACACACACGAGCTCAGTGTGGCAGCCGCCTGACCTCAGTTCAAATCCCGGCTCTGGTACCTCTCAAAGGGGCCAGCCACCTAACCTCACTGAGCCTCAGTTTCTCCTCTGATCAAGGTGGGTGTCCCTAGGGGCTAAGGACCTCTCTGACTCCTCCAGGCTCCACGGAGCCGTTGCCAGCCGTTGCCTCCGTTGCCACGGAGGCTCCCCAGGGAGTGGAACACAGTCCAGGAAAAGCAGGGCCTTCCGCCCTTTGGCCCCTCTGCATCCTCTGCCGTGCAAGTGCTGTGTCAGGAACCCACTTCCAGAAATGCCCCAAATTCTAAGTTTGCCTTACTGAGAACTGACGCCCACAATATGGGATCGGATGTGACAGACGGGCGGTCAGACTTGGCATTCTAGGAAGAAATGTGCTTTCCCAGCCCTGTGTGAGCTCCGGGAAGGGGCAGGGCGAGTCTTGTGGCAAACAATAAATAATGATAATAATAAACAATAATACAACAATGTTTTTTTGTACTATAACTTTTATATTCTAATCACAAGAGAACAGAAGAGTCCAGAAAGTAGTTATGTTTCTCCACGGCCCGACCCATCCCCGAGACCAGGACCTCCACATCCTGCCTGGTCTTGAGCTCTGTGGCCATGGCCACCTGAGTCCCAGCCCGGCCACGAGGCAGAAAGGGAGCAAGATAGGAGTTTGCTGGAAAATTGGCAGAAAACTATAATCTTGCTCCCCACTGCCTCTCCAGCCACCCCAGAATCCTTCACAAGTTTGAGAAAAGAGGGTTTTCTGCTCCTTGGTGTTTATCAAATCTTGGGAGCCCTGAGATAATGACAGGCGCTGACGGCCTAAGTCCCAGACCCAGCTCTGCCACTAGCCAGCTGTGTGCCTCGGTTTCCCCACCCATGAAGCAGGCAGAGCACCTGCCCTGCAAAACCGCGCTGGGGTTTCAGAAGATACCGAACAGAGACGCATAGCACTTGGCAGTCACGGTGTCAGCTTCCCTGGGCCACGGTTTGCAGGCCAGACCTGCCCACAAGCACATTTCATTTGGCAAAATGTTTTTATTTGAATCTGGCTGCCAACATTTAAAAAATGCAAAAAAATCCCCAATAAAATGCCATTCTTTGTTTTCTAAAAATCGATCAATCAATTTTAAAAGTGCATGCTCCTGGCCCAGTGAAGCGCTGAGTATCTGTGCCTCCCTTAGATGGGCAGCCGATGGCAGTTTGCGGTCCCCTCCTGTCCCAACCACGCACACCCAGCCCCCCTCACTCATTTTAAGGAACTGCCCCCCCTCACCCCGCACAGGCATCTGGTCTCCGGGCCTTGCCCCAGTCCTGGAGACTTGCGGGGAACAGACCTGCCCCTCAGTGCTGCCGGTGAGGCAGGGGGGATGGGCTCTCGGGGCCCTGGGACGCGGGGTATCTGCTTGTTTCCCAAGGGGCCAGACAGCTCCGGGGGCACAGGAGCAGACGTGTGTGCTTTGTTCGTCACCCCCTGGCAGGTCCCAGCAGAAGCCTGGCAAACGAAGCCCCCGACAGCACCACGGGGTGACATGAAGCAGAGAACCCTTCCTCCGGCAGCCCTGCCCCAGCCACCTGTGGGGAGGGAGGTTTGCGGGGACCCTGAGCACCTGGGGAAGCATCGTGGAGGACACCACGGGGAAGACTGCCAATATCCTGGACCCCAAGGTGGGGCCAGCCATCCTGGGTCAAGGCTGGTCCCTCCACTCCCCATGGAACTTTCTGAGATATGCTCTGTAACTGTGGGAAATGAGGCTGTGGGCCCAGGTCCCACAACAGGTGCACAGGGGAGGGGACACTGGGGGTTGATCCAGCTGATCCCACACCTGGGGTCAGCGACTCGGACTCCTTCAAGGCTGCCAGGCCACCGAGCTGAGCCCCTTCCCACACTGCAGGCAGTTGGGGGAGAAGGGGTGGCCTCTGCCCCCCACCTTCAGGCTCTGATGCATCCATCCCCCTCTGAGCATCGCCCAGGCTTGGGGAGCGGAGCCGCAGTGATGTATTTACGGCCTGTCTCTGACTGGGGGTGTTACTTACACTAATTAACAAATTACTCCAACTGTATAGTTGCATTTATTTCTGCTGCTCCCGACTCCTGGGGACCGGGGAGTGAGCTCGACGCCGTCAGCTCACCCCTGTTCCTCTCTCCTCGGCAGAGTTCCCCTCCTCTGGGGGAACAGTGAATGGGGGGGATCAAGGCTCCTGTACCTAAAGCCAGGTGGGGACGGGAGTCACAACATGCTGCAGGGTACCCTCAGATACTGTCGGGGCTCTCCCTACAAAGTGGGTGCATGTGGCTTGGAGGCAGGGGGTGCACCCACTGGCAAACACATCACTGGTCCAGCACCGTTGCCCCCCTGAGTGGGAGGCCCACCCACAGACATGAGTGTCTGGATGGTCCATTGGACTTGGGAACTTGCCAGCTGAGTGTGACCTTCACAGATACTTAAGCGTAACTGTCCCCATCTTACATCCGGGCGAGGCTCCAAGAGGTTGCCTGAGTTTACACAAATAAGCAATAAAGTGACTGATCACCACACACGGCACTAGACTCTTGACAGACCTTGGGGCTTGGGCCCCATCAAACTCATCCAGAACTGGCACCCCAAGCCTCCCGGTGAGCGGACGGTGGGTGGACAGACGGATGGAAGGACAGAGGTGGATGGGTTATGGATGAATGCACAGACGGGGAGAGATGGATGAACACGTCTATCAATCAACCCACCCATCGTGAGAGAACCCTGGCTGTCTTCTTTATACCACCTGACTCCCTGGGTCCCCTCACCTTTCCTCCAGATGTTTTCTCCAACCTCCTTGCAGACCCGTGTCCCTCCCCCACACCCCGAAATGTCCATCTCTGAATTGTCTCCAATCAGACCTGCTGTCTCCCAAGTGGAGTGGGGATGGGGGAGCCAGGACTAAAGCTCTGGAACGGCCTGACCAGCCTGCAGTGGTGGAGAGAAGTCTATTCTAGGATCGATACTTCTGTTGTTAGAAACTCAGGCTGCATTAGCCTCCAGGTGCTCCCATGATCCTGCAGCTCTTCCCAACCTGACTGTGGGGGAAACGCCCAGTGACCAGTGGCCCCAGGCTTACTTGCTTAGCTTGTGCCTCTGCCTCCCGTCTAGGCAGCGAAGGTGGGGAGTGTTCGGGGACTGCAATGACTGAGCAATTGGCAGGGGCTTTGTGGATAAAAGGATGAGATGACCACAACCTTTCAGCACACGGAGGAAATTAGCGCTGTTCCCTTTGTCCCCTCCTGCCGCTGTCCTTCCCAGCAGCAGGGAAGAGGGCGCCTGACGGAAGCACCTGCCAGGCAAAGTGCCAGAAGTGCCCAGACCCCAGGAGAGGGAATGCTCTTCAGGCAGGTGTCTGGGCAGCCTGGTGAAGCCTAGAGAGGGGACAGCTGGGTCGAAATGTCTCTTACCCACCTCCCCTC